CCCACACCAAGACATGTCATCATTTCAATGGCAAATATAATTGACAAAGAGAGAATCTTAAAGGTGTCAAGAGAGAGACAGAGAGTTACCTACAAAGAAACACCCATCAGATTATCAAATGATTACTCAACAGAAACACATCAAGTTAGAAGGGATAGTAAGAAATATACAAAACATTGCAAAGCAAGGGACTGAATCCAAGAATACTCTATCCATCAAGACTATCAATCAAAATTGATGAGGAAATCAGGAACTTTGCAAACAAACAAACAAAAAGGCTAAGGGAGTTTATCACGACCAAGCCAGCAATGCAAGAAATACTAAAGGAAATACTGCAAAAAGAAGAAATAAACAGATAAGAAGGAACACAGACACACACAAAAAATAGATATGACTACAAACAAATACCTTTCAATAATAACTTTAAATGTAAATGGACTAAATGCTTCAATTAAAAGACATTGAGTAGCTGAATGGATTAAAAAAAATGACCCATATATATGCTGTCTACAAGAGACACACCTCAGAACAAAGGACTTACACAGACTGAAAGTGAGGGTATGGAAAAATATATTTCAGACAAATGGAAATGAGAAAAAAGCTGGGATAGCAATACTTATATCTGATAAAATAGACCTCAAAGTAAATGCCATAACAAGAGATAAGGAAGGCCACTTCATAATAGTAAAGGGATCGATACAATATGAGAATATAACACTGATAAACATATATACACCCAATGCAGGTGCACCCAAATGCATAACAAAAATCCTGGAAGATATCAAGAGAGAGATTGACAACAATACAATCATAGTAATGCATTTTAATACATCATTGACATCACTGGATAAATCCTCTAGACCAGTGTTTCCCAAACTTTTGACATATGTGTACCCCTTCTATAATTTTCGTAAAGCTGAGTACCCCTCATACTCATGAGAACATAGAATTAGGCGCAGCTAAGCACAGTGCAGTGCATATCCCCACCAAATTCTGGTGCAACGCATACCCCCACCAAACTCTTCCCGTATCCCTGGGGTACATGTACCACACTTTGAGAAACACTGCTAAACAAAAAATCAGCAAAGACACAGCAATTCTAAATGACTCACTAGATCAGATGGACTTAACAGACATCTTCAGAACATTTCACCCCAAAGTCATGGAATATACATTCTTCTCAAGTGCACCTGGGACATTTTAAAAAATAAACCAGATATTGGGTCACAAGCAAAGTCTCCCAAAATTCAAGAAGATTGAAATCATACTACACATCTATGAGACCAGAAAGCCATAAAATTAGAAATCAACTACAAGGAAAGCAATCCAAAAATCTCAAACACCTGGAAGCTGAATAGCATGCTGTTAAATAATGACTGGGTTACCAAAGATATCAAAGAAGAAATTAAAAGCACCCTGGAAACTAATGACAATAAAAACACAACCCAAAAATATATGGGACACAATGAAAGCAGTCCTGTGAGGGAAGATTATAGCCCTACAAGCCTACCTCCAAAAAACAAGAAAAAATGGTAACTAAATCATCTAACTGTACAACTCAAAGAATTAGAGAGCAACAAGAAAAACCCAGAGTGAGCAGAAAGGAAGATAATGAAGATCAGAGCAGAAATAAATGACATGGAGGAGAGGAAAAAGCAATAGAAAAGATCAATGAAACCAAGAGCAAGTTCTTTGAAAGGATAAACAAGGTTGATGAATCTCTAGCCAAGCTCACCAAGAAGCAAATACAGAGGACTGAAATAAACAAAATCAGAAATGATAGACCCAAAATAACAACAGACACCACAGAAATACAAAGAATTGTTAAAAAATACTATGAACAACTCTAATCCAACAAACTAGACAATTTAGAGGAAATTTACATATTCCTAGAAAAATATAACCTTCCAAAACTCAATCAGGAAGATTCTAAAAATCTTAATAGGTTGATAACTGTGGAAGAAATTGAAGCAGTCTTCAAAAAGCTTCCAGCAAACAAAAGCCGAGGCCAGATGGCTTCACAGGGGAATTTTACCAAACATTCAAGGAAGAACTAAAACCTATCCTTCTCAGACTATTCCAAAAATTTCAAGAGGAAGGGAAACTTCCAAGCTCCTTCTGTGAAGCCAGCACCACCCTAATACCAAAACCAGATAAAGACAACACAATGAAAGAGAATTATAGGCCAATATCCCTCATGAACATAGATATAAAAATCCTCAACAAATTTTAGCAATCGAATCCAGCAATACATCAGATACATTATAAACCATGACCAAGTATCATTTATTCCAGGGATACAAGGATGGTACAATATCTGCAAATTAATAAAAGTGACACATCACATAAAAAATTGAAAGATAAAAATCACACATTGGCACAGAAAAAGCATTTGACAAAATCCAACATCACTTCATGATCAAAACACTCAGCAAGGTGGGAATAGAAGGATCATATCTCAACATAAAAAAAGCCATATATGAAAAAGCCACAGCCAACAACACACTCAATCGACAAAAACTAAAACTATTTCCCCTAAGAATAGAAACAAGACAGGGATACCCACTCTCACCACTCCTGTTGGACAGAGTACTAGAAGTATTAGCCATTGCAATTAGACAAGAAGAAGAAATAAAAGGCATCCAAATTAGAAAACAAGAAGTAAAGCTGTCCTTATTTGCAGATGACATGATACTGTACATAAAATACCTGAAAGACTCTATCAAAAACTAACAAACTTAATAAATGAATCTGGCAATGTAGCAGGATACAAAATTAAGGCCAAGAAATCTATGGCATTTCTATACACTAATAGTGAACTTACAGAAAGAGAGACTAAAAAAGCAATCCCATCTCACCAAAAAATTTTAATATACCTAGAAATAAATTTAACTGATGAGGTAAAGAACGTATATGCGAAAAACTACAGGACACTGAAAAAAAGTGATAGAGGAAGCCATAAATAGATGGAAGAACATACTGTGTTCATGGATTGGAAGAATCAACATCATCAAAATGTCCATACTACCCAAAGCAATCTACAGATTCAATGTAATCCCCATTAAAATACCATTGGCATATTTCACAGACCTGGAAAAAACTTTCTAAAAATTCATCTGGCATAAAAAAAGACCCTGAATAGCTGCAACAATCCAGAGAAAGAAGAACAAAGTAGGAGGAATCTCAATACCAGATTTCCAGCTGTATTACAAAGCCACTGTTCTCAAAACACCCTGGTACTGTCATAAGAACAGACATGTAGATCAATTGAATAGAATAGAGAACCCGGAAATTTATCCAAACCACTTTCCCAATTCATATTTGACAAAGGAGGCTTCAACATAAAATGGAGTCAACATAGTCTCTTCAACAAATGGTTTTGGGAAAATTGGACAGATACATGCAAAAAAATGAAACTAGATCACCAACTTACACCATACACAATAATAAACTCAAATGGATAAAGGACTTAAACATAAGAAGGGAATCCATAAAAATACTAGAGGAATCCACATGCAAAAAAAAAAAAAAAATCCAGACATATGCTGAAAGAAATTCTTCACTGATACTGCTCCTAGGGCAATGAAGCTAAAAAGAAAATAAAAGGGACTACATCAAAATAAAATCTTTTGCCCAGCAAAAGAAACCATCAACAAAACAACAAGAAAGCCCACTACAGGGGGGGAATATATTTGACAATAACATAACTGATAAGGGTTTAATCTCCAACATCTACAGGGAACTCATACAACTTAACAAAAGGAAGATAAACAATCCAATCAAGAAATGGGCAATGGACCTAAATAGACACTTTTTGAAGTAGGACAGAAGGAAGGCTAAGAGATATATGATTTGCATCTCTCACTAATTATCAGAGAGATGCAAATCAAAACAGCAATGCGTTATCATCTCACACTGTCAGAATAGCTATCATCAACAAGGGACAAATATTGGCGAGATTGTGGAGAATAAGGCCCTCTTTTGCACTGCTGGTGGGAATGCAGATTGGTGCAGCCACTGTGAAGAACAGTATTGATTTTCCTCAAAAAACTAAAAATAGAACTCCATTTTGACCCAGTGATCCCACTTCTAGGAATATATCACAAGAAACTAGAAACATGAATCAGAAAGGATATATTCACCTCTATGTTCATAGCAGCACAGTTCACCATAGCTAAGATTTGGAAACAGCCTAAATGCCCATCAGCAGATGAGTGGATTAAAAAACTGTGGTACATCTACACAATGCAATACTATGCTGTAGTAAAAAAGGAGTTCTTACCATTTGCAACTGCATGGTTGGAACTGGAGAGCATTATTCTAAGTGAATTAGGCCAGTCAGAGAAGGACAAATACCACATGATCTCACTCATTTGTGGAATATAATGAACAACATAAACTGATGAGCAGGGGCAGATCCAAAGGCAGAGAAGTATCTATTAGACTGCCAGACATCAGAGGGAAGCTAGGGAAAGGTGGGCAAAAGGAGGAGAGATCAACCAAAGAACTTGTATGCATTAATATAAGCCTAACCAATCGACATGAAAACCAGGCGGTGAGTGGGGGTGGGGGTGGCTTGGGGGAGCTGATGGAGAAATGAAGACACATATGTAATACCTTAATCAATAAAGAAATTTTGATAAAAGAGTAAAAAAATAACAAAAAATTAGCAAAAAGAACAGCTCAGAGTGAATAGAAGGAATAAAATAATAAAGATCAGAGCAGAAATGAATTACATAGAGACCAAAGGAAAAAAAATACAAAAGATCAATAAAAACAAAGACCTGGTTCTTTGAAAGGATAAACAAGATTGATGAACCTATAGCTAGGCTCTCTAAAAATCACAGGATCCAAATAAACAAAATCAGAAATGAAAGAGGTGAAATAACCACAGACATAGACATAGACATAGACACAGACATAGAAAAGATTGCAAATATATATATATATATATATATATATATATATATACACACACACACACACACACACACACAAACAACTCTAATCCAACGAAGTGGACAACATAGACAAAATGGTCACATTCATAGAAATATGCATTCTTCTAATACTCAATGATGAATAATCGAAAAACCTCAATTGGCTGATAACTATGAATGAAATTTAAGCAGTAATCAAAAATCTTCCAACAGACAAAAGCCCAGGTCCAGACAACTTCACAGGGGAGTTTTACCAAACATTCAAAGAAGAACTAAACTCTATTCTACTCAGACTATTCTAAAAAGTCCAAAGGAAGGCACACTTCCAAGCTCTTTCTAATAGCTAATGCTTACCCTAATCCTAAAACCAGACACTACAAAGAAAGAGAATTACAGGCCAATATCCAAAGTGAATATAGATGTTAAAGTCCTCAACAAAATTCTGGAAAATCAGATCCAGCAATATATTAAAAAGGTCATACCTCATGACCAAGTGGCATTTATTCTGAGGATGCAAGGCTGATACAATTGCTGCAAATCAATAAACGTTATACATCACATAATCAAATTGAGAGGCAAAAATCACATAATCATATCAATTAATGTAGAAAAATGCATTTGACAAAATCCAACACACTTTCTTGATGAAAACACTCAGCAAAATGGTAATAGAGGGATCATACATCAACATAATAAAAGCCTTATATTACAAACCCACAGCCAACATCACACTCAATGGGCAAAAACTAAAACCATTTCCCCTAAGAACAGGACCAAGATAAGGATGCCCACTTTCACCACTCCTATTCAGCATAGTACTGGAAGTGCTAGCCATAGCCATCAGACAAGAAGAAATAAAGGCATCCAAATTGGAAAAGAAGAAAAACTGTCATTATTCTCAGATGACATGATATTGTACATAGAAAACACTAATGATTTCAACCAAAAACAACTAGACTTAATACATATACTTGGCAACATAGCAAGATACAAAATTAACACTGAGAAAGCCATGGCTTTTTTATATATAGCAATAATGAACTCACAGAAAGAGAAACTAAACAACCCCATTTACCACTGCAGCAAAAAAAGTTAAAATACATAGGAATAAACTTAACTAAGGAAATAGAAGACCTATACTCTGGAAACTACAGGTTATTGAAAAATGAGATAGAGGAAGACATAAACAAATGTAATAATATACCGTATTTATGGATTAATAGAATCAGCATCATTAAAATGTCTATACTACCCAAAGCAATCTACAGATTGAATGCAATCCCCATTAAAATACCAATGGCATATTTCACAGACCTAGAAAGAACTCTCCAAAAGTTCATCTGGAGTAAAAAATAAATAAATAAAAATAAAAAAATAAAAAGACCCCAAATAGCTGCAGCAATATTGAGAAAGAACAAAGTGGGAGGGATCTCAATACCATATATCAAACTATATTATAAAGCCACTGTTTTCAAAACTGCCTGGTACTGGCACAAGAACAGACATTAGATCAATGGAACAGAACAGCGAACCCAGAGATCAACCTGTTCCACACACCAAACAAATCAGTACAAGACTAATGAAATGCCAATCAGCTGTTAAAATATTCACTGTTAGTGTTAGTGGAGAAAAATGATGCCCCTTCGTGTAAGGCACATAAGGGAAGTGATTGCAACAAGATTATAGTAATCAGTCATTAGCAAACTTTGTAGTTTGTTATTATTATGTGTACCAGGATCTTGTAAAAATTAAGCTATGAAATTTTTATTAAAATTTCTTACATACCATTATATTGCCTGGCCTACAAATTATTTTTGTGGTCCTCATGCTGCCAGATGGCTGCAAGTTTGACATGCTTGATCTACACACTGCCAGATGGCTGCAAGTTTGACATGCTTGATATACACAGTGGAATACTACACTGCTGTTAAAAAATAGGAACTCTTACCATTTGCAACAGCATGGATGCACCTAGAGAGCATTATGCTAAGTGAACTAAGCCAGTCAGATAAAGATAAATACCACATGATCTCACTCATTCATGGATTATAATGAACAACATAAATTGGTGAACAAAAATAGATCCAGATATACAGAAGGATCAAACAGATTGTCCAACCTCAGAGGGAAGGGATGGGAGGCGGGTAAGAGATCAACCAAAGGACTTGTATGCAAGCATATATGCATAACCCACGGACATAGACAGTAGGTAGGTGAGTGCATGTGCTGTGGGATGAGAATAGCTGGGTAGAGGTCAATGGGGGGATTGGGGAAGGAGACATATATAATACTTTAAACAACAAAGAATTTTAATTTAAAAATAAATACCAACAGCATACTTCACAGAACTATAACAAAGTCTGCAAAACAGACATATAGACCAATGAAACAGAACAGAATTACATTAAAATAAAAAGCTTCTGCACAGCACAAGAAACCACCATCAAAATAAAAAGGAAGATGGAGCCCACGCCATCTTGAAGAGGAGAGCGGCCTCTTCTAGGAAGCTATCAGCAACACCACCCCCACAGGTCATGGACACTGCCCATGACCCAGCAGCCACTCCAGCCAAAATTTTACTGCCCCACCCACAGACGTGCAGACCCTAGTACCTTCACCTCCAAAGGTTCACAGCTCTGGCAACAGTAAATACAACTTCTCCCCTCCCCAGCTGCACACCTCAGAAGCCAAAGTTATACTTTTCCAGTGTGCAGGCCTCTTGAGCTCCCCACTCCACAGGCCAATCTTGGGTGCTGTTGTGAACCCCCACTGGGCATGCTTTTATACAACACAAGGGTGCACTGCCTTGGCAGTAGAAATTCTGAATTCTCCCTTCCTGGATACCTGCCCACAGACACCACAGTCACTCAGCTTCAGCACCAAGGCACCTTGAGTGCATGAGGGCACCACCTTGGCAAATGGCTCCTGGTTACCTCTGTGAGCTGCCACTGGGCATGCATGAATCCAACCAAGGGCACAAGGCCTTGGTAGCAAAAACTGCGTCTTCCCACTCCATAGCTGCCAACCTCTCGACACTGCAATCTTGCCTTTTTGGGGCACAGGCCTCCTTAGCCCTATCACCCCAACAGATGGTTCCTGGGTGCCTCTGTGAGTCCCTGCTGGGCATGCATTATTTCATCCAATGCTGCAATGCAGCAAAAATTGGGACATCCCTCTCCCTGGCTGCTGATCTCAGGACATCGCAGTTGCACGTTTCCAAAATGCAGGCCTACTGAGCCTGCTGACCCTATAGGCAGTTCCTGGGTGCCTACTTGAGCCCCAGCTGGATGCACTCATATCCAACAAAGGGTGCACGGCCCCAGCAGTAAAAATTGGTGCTTCACTCTTCCCAGCTGCCTACCCACATACACCATGGTCACATTGTTTCAGCATGCAGGCCCCCTGAGGCCACTGCCCCAGCAGGCGACTCCTGGGTGCCTCTGTGAGCTTCCACTAGGCACACTCATATCCAATCAAGGGTTCAAGGACCTGACAGTAGAAATTTGGACTTACCCCTCCTGAGCTGCCGACCTCTAGTCACTGCAATTGCACCGGTCCAGTGCACCAGCCCCCTGATCTTGCTGCGCAGGCAGATGAGCCCTGGGTGCTTCTTTGAGCCGCCCCAAGTTACAACCCTGGCCGCTGGAATCTGGGTCCTATGGTAGTGCTGGTCCAACTCAAGGGCCACCTAAGCCCACTGCCTCAGCGGATGGATACTAGTCACCTCCATAAGAAGCCATTGGGGGTACATATCCAACCAAGGGCACATATCCCCCAAGTGGAAACTGGGACTTCTCCCTCTATGGGGCCTGTGGCACACCACAATCACTCAAATCCAGCATGTGGCTTGTAGGCCACTCTGTGTGCTGCCACTGGACTTGTGCCTCTCCAACCAAGGGCATGTACATGGCTTCATCAAAAGGATCCACAGCATCCCCCTCCCTCCTACATCTGGACAACTTGGTGAGTTACTGAGGACTTGCCTCTCTGGACAAGGTCACATTGTTTCATACACAGACCTTAAAATTCCTACATCCTCAGCTGCTAGATCCTGATTTAGAGAGGGAAATCACTTTGGCCAGAATCCCACTGCCTCAACCACAGACTATGAGACACCTGCCCCCCACTGTAACAGGCTATGGCCCCTTATAGTGAGTTGCAGAGTGACACTAATCCAGCAAGAGTCACTCCATAAAGCTAAAGTCACAGGACCTGAGAATCAGACCCTGAGACTCCTTCCTCTCTGGCAGTGGACTCTGGGAACCCCACAGTGAGCACATACTAGTGAGACTTGAGACAACCTTTTCCACAAAAGCCAGAGCCAAAAATCACATCCAAAACAGCTTGCACAATGAAGCTGGGGTGAGTCACATTTGTAACCCATGATGAGACTTTATCCAAGAATAAGAAACTAACATTCAAGATGCAGCTACATCAAGAAAACCCAAATAGGAGATTCAAGATGGTGGCGTTGGTAAAAACCTAAACTGCTGCCTTGCACAACAATTTCAAAACTACAACTAAAAGACAAAATGTCTTATCAACCAGAACCACAGGAATGCTGGCTGAATGGATGTTCTACAACTAGAAGAAAAGAGAAAAGAGTATTCAGGGCACAAGAGCTGAAAAGCTAAGGTAACGGAGGTGCACACGATCTGGGCTGATAGTGATCCCAGCTGGCAACGGGACACAAGTCCCGATTTCTCTGAAATCTAGTTTCTGGGGGACATGGAGGACCCAAATTTCTGCGAGGAGAAGCTGGACAGTCTGCCATCAGGTCATAAAGTGAAAGTGGCTTGCTTTCAGAGCTCCACGCAGGAATAATTGCTTGCAGTTAGAAATGGGGGGACAGCTGGCTGGTAGCCATCACTATTTGACATGCCCTAGCCTGCTGATGCCCTGAGGCCCCGCCCTGCACAACCTACAAGGCCACCCAAGCTTCAAACAGCGGCTTTTGCATATGAATGGCCTTGCCTGTTGCAGCTTAAGCTAGCAAACTTGCAACCCATTTAGACAGCTCCAAAGCCTCAAGCTCCAAGTAGGGAGGGGAGGAATGTGGTTCTCACTGTAGCTCCTGCAAGGTGGCCTCAGACAGTGTGAGACACCAGATTTGCACCCTATTGGAGATCCAGAAGCCAGTTTACCTAGTGGTCAGAGTGAGTCACCAGATTTAAACTCCTCACATTTATAAGTGACACATTCAGGAGGCAGACTCAGTGAGCACCAAAGCCCCACTGAAACAAGTCCTACACTGTAAGCATGTCTCCAGTGCAGCAGTCCTTCCATTATCGACACAGTGGGTCCT